AGCTCCATATTCTTCCCGGGCGTACATACCCTGTCAGGGCACACGACACCATGTGCTTCGGGAGGCGAAACAAAGATGAGGCCGATGCGACACGGTCGCGCGAGCTGGACAAGATCCTCAAGGCGGACGAGAAGAGGATGCAAAAGGAGGTCAAATTACTTTTGCTCGGTATGGCTGCACCTCGCCCCTCCCGCCTTTCCCGCCCTTCCAGGCCACTCGGGTCCCAATTCGGGCCAACCATCGACGACGCTAATTGATCAACGCTGTGTTCACAGGTGCCGGAGAGTCCGGAAAATCAACCGTGTTGAAACAGATGAAACTCATCTACGCCACGGGATTCAGCAAGAACGAGAAGCTAGAATGGAAGCCCGTCGTCTTCAACAACATCGTCCAGTCATTCCGCCTGATCTACGATGCCATGACCGAGCTGAACATCGCCTTCGAGCAACCCGAGAGCGAGGTACGTTTTTCACAGCCCACCGGGTGACGATCATCCCAACCCCCCCCCCCCCCCTCTGCGGAGCCCTGCTGGATTGGACTGACATCCAAATTAGAAATACATGGAGCAAGTATTGGTGGACCACGAGCTTAGCCCGAACGATCACTTCCCGACCGAGTTCCTCGAACCGATTAAGAATCTCTGGACCGACGAGGGCGTGAAGAAGGCTATCGCCAAGGGTAACGAGTATGCACTTCACGACAATCTAGAATAGTAAGTAGACACCGTGCGATCTATGGAAAGGGCACGGCTGATCTTCGAAGCTTCTGCGACGACCTCGAACGATTCTGGGACAAGAATTATGTTCCGACCGACCAGGATCTCCTGCGATCACGGCTACGGACGACGGGTATAACCGAGACTGTGTTCGATCTCGGCCAACTGACATATCGCATGTTCGACGTTGGCGGCCAGCGGTCAGAGCGAAAGAAGTGGATACACTGTTTCGAGAACGTCAACTGCCTGTTGTTCCTGGTTGCGATCTCCGGTTATGACCAATGTCTTGTGGAAGACAAGGATGGCGTAAGTAATCTTAATTCCGAAACGAAGAGCTGACGTGCTAACTTGATCAAAAGAACCAAATGAACGAGGCTCTGATGCTGTGGGAGTCAATCGCAAACTCACACTGGTTCCTCAAGTCAGCGCTGATTCTGTTCCTCAACAAGATGGATCTGTTCAAGGAGAAGCTGGCGAAAAGCCCCATCACCCAGCACGGATTTACGGACTACCACGGACAACCCGATGACTGGAAGCAAGCGAGCAAGTACTTCATGGACAAGTTCCGCGCACTCAACCGGAATCCCGAGAAGGAAATTTACGGTCACTTCACGAACGCCACAGACACGAACCTCCTTAAGATTACGATGGGATCTGTCCAGGACATGATCATACAACGGAACTTGAAGCAGCTGATCCTTTGAAATTGAGCGCGGTCCGACGAGCTTGGGAGTCACCAGGCTCTCGCGAGTTTCCTTTCACGGGACATATCCTCCCCCCAGGAATCTGCAGAGCCTGGAGACATTCATTGCGCGCGAATCTCTCACGAATCGCAGTCGATCAGCGCCGCTGTTTTATGATAGGCCGCCCAGCGGCCACACGAAGTACACATGACGACGTTGACGGTTTTCACGAGCTTCCCGTCACGAGGTTTCTCTGACCTGGGAACATGGTGTTTTGGGCCCAACGTCGCATTGCCTCACCAACACTAGTATACTTAACGAAACGCCCAGCTGCAAGCACACAACGATGCGCAAGCAGGGCAAGCCACCCCCTGTTTCCCGACAGGACGGGGCAGAGAGACGTTCACTTCCGTTGTCGCCCCAATATCACATGGCCAGAACCGATTGGTTAGAAAGCTCGATTAAGCATTTTTCGGAGCATTGTGCATATGGGGAGTGATCTTGAGTGATAAGATCATATGGGACAAGTTTTGGGGTGCATTTCGTCCGGCACTTGGCCGTTCAGAGCAGAGCGGTGGAACGTTGGAAATTGAAAGGGTTTTACGAACGGCATTTTGGACATCAAGCCCGGCCGTGAGCAGTTGAGGTTGGACATTAGTCACTGCCGAGCCAGGGACGAGGGCCTGGACACATATATAATACGTTACTTGAATTTTTCAGATACCCGACACTTAACATACTTTGTATCTTCGTCCGATTTAACTTATCTTTGTTGGCGCTCTAGAGCCATTGGAAGGTTACCTCTGAGGAAGAAGCACTCGACGAGCGAATTCGGGATGAGAGACTCAGACTATGTGCACTTGTCAGTTGACTGGTGCAGGCGAGGTCTGTGGTGACACTGACAGTGATCAGCCTGAATATCACGCCCTTTGCAAAGCTGCAACCTTACTCCGAGCTTCCACCACGATTGGAGCGTGCATGCAGTAGGCTGCATCCTTCTACATGTACTGTACAGTCAGTGCTGGGCGCTATCGGCAGCCGTGGCTCAGTGCGCGCTGCCCTCCCCCCTTCTACCTTGTATTCTCCCACCTCCCAAGGCTGAATGGCTGGGCTTCCTGTCTTCACACCGATGTTCTATTTTTATTCGACTAGTTGTGATCTGTCAGGCGGGACGGCATGCCAGGTTTCCTGTCTGGGTTTGGTGTCCTGTCCGCGCCGCATTTGATGGAATAAGAACTTTGACCTCTCACCTGTCGCTGCCGCTGCGGTTGGGCGTTGTCACTCTCACATGTGTACTTTGTGACATGTTGTCCAGACCTTGTTTCTGCGTGCTCATTGGCAGACGGACATCACGTCCGTCGTCCACACATGCTGAAAACGTGCGCTCACCTCAGCATGCACCCCGGAACGAAGAGTACGTATTCCTCCTGTGGACACCCTCCTCGCTCGCTCTTTTGGGGTCGGGTTTTGAGACCTCTTATCACCGGTACAGTCTACAATGACCATATCTGGTAGCGAGAGGTTCTAGAAGGAATTTCAGCCGGACATATGCCCGATTTTGCCCCAAGACCAGTAATACGAGGAACTATTGGGCAGTGAGTGTGGAAGGTGTCTACGACCTAGAAAGACATGGAAATCAGCTAGCCAAAGCCACAGTGCCCGAGTAAAGGCTGCAAGGTGAAGTAAAGGGTTTTTCTTGCCGGTGTGTGTCAGGGCTCAAGGACCGAAATAAGAGGGGTGGTGGAGCCAAATGAAAGAGAGCTTTTCAATGACACGTCCACAGCAGTGGCCTCCGTATAGCTGACCAACTCCAGCAATCCATGGGTCTGACTGGCACCCTTCGAGCGAAATCTGTTAAATAGAATTTATGGGACTTCCCATTACGGAAGGTAGATATCGACGCTTTGCAGGAAAACATATATATACTCCGACAGACTGCAGCTAAGAAATAATCGGGACATAATTATGTTAGCTGAAGAAATTATGTAAGACACCGGGGACACTATCGAGAGTTCAACGTAGGTTGAAAAATTACAGCTATGTAATATACGTGGCAGCCTTGTGCGGAAAGTCGACAGCTTCTGTGAGCTCGCCTGCCAAGTCACTACCATCGTGACGGCCACTTCGATTTGTTTCCTCGGCTGTCTTTTAGCTGGCACTATATCAACCTCATCAGCAGCCTGCAGCCATGAGGAAGTTTCACAGTTTTGAATTAAAGAGTGGCCGATTAATGCCGATCATCTGTTCAATGTCATGTCTCCGAGTCGTCATCTGGTGAACAAATCGACGTCAACATACTCATCCTCTAAGGCTGCACATTCCCAGTTTAAATCGAGATGATGAATTGATCAATACATGCCTCCAAACACAGGAACCCTGATATTTGCACCTAACTTCATTTCAATACGGTCAGTGAGCTCAAGCGGATATGTCTGTGTCTCTAAGATGGCTCATGATGGTGACGTTGATACGTGAGTGTCTAGGTGATGTCTGAAGACGCAACAAAGCTCCTCTAGAAGATCGCGATTTCTTCTTTCACATGTCATAAATGAAGCTTATCACATGGTCGTATTATTTGTGTTTGTATGGCATTCCATGGTTGTAACATGGTTCCCTTTCTCGTCGGGTCCGTCCCGGTGTTCTGGGAGCCACCCGCAGAGGCGGGCCGATGCCGTGGCAGGTTCAGGGCCCATGCGAGAGTTGTGTTACTTGTGGGACAAGTCAAGCCACATATGCCAGGTCCGGGTGTTCGCATCTAATGTTGTATTCCATTCAACGTGGTTATAAGGTCTGTTCTCGAGGTGAATTCGTCCTCGCGTCCGTCGTATCGTCCATTGCTGGTGCTGGGGCGGTGGGTTTTGAGAGACATTTTGGACCTGGGCTTCCGGCTGTAAGACGCGCGAAAGGTGGGTTTCTCGTGAGATTTTCTTTTCTTTTTTCTTATTGAGAATATCGTTAAAGATCCGCATCGCCGTGTTTTCCAGAAAGATCACACATAGGTTTTGGGTTTTGCAATCACGGGCACGTTCATCCAAACCATATTTAAGCTCGTGGAGCCACTGCGGAGATGCACGGGTAGGACAGGGGTTCTCCAGGTGAAGACGCCAATGGAAAACCACCTGGGCAGCTTGGAGGCCGGGGGTGGGCCTGGCAGCGAATGCGGGTGTCGCATTGGCAGCTCTGAGTTGTGCCCTGTCGATCGCGCGGTAGCGTCGCTCGTAGCAACAGGAGGAGCGACACCCCTCGAACTTAGAATCTCGTGTTGATATTAGCAAACCGCGCGAGTTTCATTTCGCTTTTTATCCGGCCTCATCTTCATCCTGTTCAATCAAGCACGCAGATCGTTGAACAAGTCCATCAACCAAATTGCGCAACTTACACTGCATTGTTTACATGTTGAAGGTTCCGAGGTCGCCTTGGGCTTTGTTTACCTCGATTTCCTTGTTGACGTCAGGAAGACAGTCGCAGCATAGCAGGCTCGCAAACGGAACATGAGACCGCCCGACCCCGCAATCGACTTCGACGGCCTTTCCTGAGGACATTACGAACGCCAACAACCCAACTGCTTCAGCATGTCCGATTCTACGACTTACCATCCCGTCATGGCTGACACCGCAGGCAAGCAAGGCGCGACGGCGACGGCGGCCTCTTCCAGTCGCCCCGGACTTTGGACCAGGATCACCAACCGCTTTCCGTTCCTCCAGCGCAAACGGGGCGTCGCTATCGTGGTGATAGCGATTCTTGTAATCATTGGTGGAGGTCTTGCTGGCTTGGCTGCCTTGCGCAACCGATCAGGATCCTCCTCTGGCAACGCAGGCTCTGGGGGTGGGACTGGAAATAACCCAAATGCTGTCCAGAGCGACACCTACTTCTATGGACAATCCCCGGCCGTGGAGCCCTCACGTGAGTACCCCTGGACGGTGAAAGAGTGCTACATGTCTTTCATTGCAAAGGAGTTGCGTCTCGCTGACAACTCATGTGGACGCAGCCAATATTAGTGGAATTGGGACTTGGGCCAATTCTCTCTCACGGGCACAGGCGATGGTTTCAAACATGACCCTGGATGAAAAGGTGAATCTCCATCCCTCGCCTGACGTGTCTGTACACCTACTCATGCCTCCTGCTATGTACAGATCAGTTTGACAGCAGGGTCGAGTAGCGATACGGGATGCGTCGGCTACTTGAACCCGATCGAGCGCCTGCAGTTTCCTGGCATGTGCTTTCAAGATGCAGGCCAGGGAGTCAGAGCCACTGACTTTGTGTCGGCATGGCCTGCTGGCATTCACATGGGCGCGAGGTATGGAGAACTCTCTTCTGCGTAGGGAAAACACTTTGCAGTATCCTACATCTTGTGACCTAATTTGTGTATGACTTTCTCAAGGATAAGGCTGACAGAAACCACAGTTGGAACCGAAACTTGTCGCGAGAGCGAGCCCTTGGTATGGGCGGCGAGTTTCGAACCAAGGGAGCCAACGTCTTTCTTGGGCCTGTCGTGAGCCCTTTGGGACGAACAGTAACTAGTGGTAGAAACTGGGAAGGTAATGGAGTTCGCAAACCTCACATAAGAATCCAATTTGCTAATTTTACATTCCCAGGCATCTCAGCAGACCCTTACCTGTCCGGTGCCTTAGTATTCGAGACGGTCCAAGGAGTTCAGTCAGCCGGCGTTATTACATCTACAAAGGTATTTTAGGATTTTCCAGCCTCGCGCCGTCGTTTCTGATGTCTCTCTAGCATTTTATTGCCAACGAACAAGAGGCTCATCGAATGCCAAATGGAGGCGTGCAATCAGTATCTTCCAATATTGACGACCAGACAATGCATGAACTCTACCTGTGGTAAGCAGCATTTCCCGCGACCAGAGCGCGCATACTGAGTTCGACAGGCCATTTCAAGACGCCATTCACGCTGGCAGTGCGAATATTATGTGTTCATACCAGCGGATCAACAACTCTTACGGTTGTGCCAACAGCTATACCCTGAACGGGCTCTTGAAGACAGAGCTAGGCTTTCAGGGCTTTGTCGTTTCGGATTGGAACGCCCAGTACACAGGAGTTGCAACCTCTTTGGCCGGACTTGATGTCGCAATGCCCAACGCTGGCGTCTATTGGGGACCGAAGCTAAAACAAGCTGTCACGAATGGGAGTTTGGCTGAATCAAGGATCGACGATCAAGTCACACGGTGAGTTGACTAAAGCACACTTTTCATGATAATTCACTGACCAAGCCAAGTCTCCTGGCATCGTGGTACCAGTTGGGCCAAGATCAAGGCTTCCCTACCCCTGGAGTAGGAATACCGCAGAACCTCGCTGAGCCGCACACAATCGTAGACGCTCGAAACTCCTCTTTCAAGTCAACACTGTTTGATGGAGCAGTGGAAGGACACGTCCTCGTAAAGAATACAAAGAACACTCTACCGTTGAACAAGCCGAGGATGCTCTCTGTTTTTGGCTACTCTGCCACTCAGCCTGGCCAATACAACATCGAACCTCCTGGAGGAACCGTATGGACTTTTGGTGCTGAGGCTGCCGACCCTCTCAGCGTTCTTCAAGGCTTCCTCGGAAATCTGACATACCCTTATGATCAGATCGCTCCAAATGGCACATTATTTTGCGGTGGCGGATCAGGAGCAAATTCAGCATCGTTGGGCAATTCGCCTATGGACTCCCTCCAACAGCAAGCCAATAGTGACGACACAGCCCTCTTCTGGGATTTCAGGTCGGCTACCCCTAAGGTGAATGGCGCCTCGGATGCCTGCTTAGTGTTTGGGAATGCGTGGGCGAGCGAAGGCTCTGATCGGCCGGGCCTTTACGACAACTACACTGATGGCCTGATTAAGCACGTTGCTTCCACATGCAACAATACCATCGTCGTCTTCCACAATGCAGGTGTAAGACTTGTCGACCAATTCGTGGACAACGAGAACGTTACAGCTCTCATTTTTGCCCACCTTCCAGGCCAGGAATCTGGGCGCGCCCTGGTGTCTCTGCTGTACGGGCAGTCCAATGCGTGGGGGAAGCTACCCTATACAGTGGCGAAAAATGAGTCTGACTACGGCGAGCTGTTGCACCCAGCCAAGGCAGAGGGCGACTTCGAGCTCTTCCCACAGGCGAACTTCACCGAGGGTGTCTACATTGATTACCGGCATTTTGACGCCAATAACATCGAGCCCCGATACGAGTTCGGGTATGGTTTGTCATATACGACTTTCGCGTATGCGAACCTTGTTATAAACCAAAACTCCACCTCGAACACAACCGAATACCCCAGCGGTCCTATCGAGGTGGGTGGCCAGTCCGACCTTTGGGACAACCTGGTGTCTATCACAACTGAAATCCAGAACACGGGGACTGTCAACGGGACTGAGGTTCCTCAGCTGTATGTTCAGACGCCAGGGACGAATAGACCTCGGGTGCTGCGAGGCTTCGATAAGCCGCTGCTCAATCAGGGGCAGACTGTCACGGTCTCGTTTGGCCTCACGCGCCGGGATCTGAGTGTGTGGGACACGACAGCCCAGAAGTGGCTGCTCCAGAGAGGGCAGTACACTGTCTTCGTGGGCTCGAGTAGCCGAAATCTGCCGCTGAACGGGACATTCAACTTCTGAAAGAGCCAATCGAGGTGAAACATGGTCGATTTTGCGCATAGAAAATTAAAAATTGGCGTTTGGCGTGACGGACATCCCTGGGGGAGGTAATTTGCTGGCTTCGAGCTAAGTTTGGATGGACTTTAGATAGCTAATCTTCTGGCTGGCTCATGGCGAGGGTCATGACATTGATTCTGGATGCTTTTAATGAGTAAGGCTCTGCAGAGGCAAGCAGGGCCGTCCTGTGCATAGATTGAAGAGGTCGTCCATAGTACAAGAATTCAAGTGGTAATATCCACACCGCTCAGTTTGTCTTATGTTTATCGACGACATTTCCGAAATGGGTGCCATGGCTCGATGGTGTGCAGGGATTTGGGATCATACAGACCTTCGACGTCATCACACGCGGGACATAGTTCCAACGGCCTCTCTGCCCCTCCTACTTGCTCTCGCGAACTAGCTGGCAAATAAGCCTCATCTTCGTCCAAACTCCCAGCAGGTACAGCATTTCATCGCCGGGCCCTATCTTGAACCCAATCTATCTGGCGCCCCTGAGTTGGGTGTGCAGATTCGTTGACTCGGAGTGCCCAGCCGAGATGCACACTGCAAGGCTTACACCGCAACTGGTGCCTCTTGTTGATATAAAGCTGACTCTCGCCGTGCATCCAACGAAGACTAATCGTCGGATGCTAGCCGCCATGGCTTAGCCACAACGGCCAGACACGGCGAAACGGCTGGCGAAGATGGCGGCGGCGGCGGCAGCGCCGGTCTAGGAGCCCCCCTAGTCTGCTGCACCGGCACTTGTACCACCGCTTGTCGGATCTCTGGCCGTTATGTGATGCATTCGACAAATGCCAGGGCCGCCGTCATTTCAATGCATACCTATCTGGACTATCTCCCCCTCATCGCGGGTAAGTAGCTTGCCCGTCACTGGCCAGACGCCCTTTTGCCTCTTCAACTGGCGCAAGCAGACCTGTGTGGGCTCTTCTTATCTTGCCAGTGGTCCTGCTTGTCAGCAACCAGTGCTATCATGATTTCCCTACGTGGGTCCTGCTCGTCACTGACATCGACTATCTTGGTCATGGCAATGCTGAAAAGAGCCTTGTTCACTCAATTTAACCCCTCCTTCGCACTCGTGTTTTCAATGCGTCTCAATTCCTCGCTTTCTCTATAACTTGCCTGCTTAAGATCTTGGAATTGGCACCATTGGGACAGGTCGTGGACACAATATTCACGGAATAACGTCCAATGCCCCTCAATCGTTTCCCTGCGTGCCCGAGAATCATAGTCTAGACAAATTTAGACTGCAGACCTCAGCGACAAGATACACCCCGGGCATAGAGACTATTATACAATATGCCAAGCGGGTCGTCTTCCGAGACGGTGACCCCGACCGAGAGTCTACCCACAGAGACCTCGGCGCTTCTCCCAAAACCCTCGTCCACTGACCCGGCAGAGACAGATGTCGCTGCCGAGACGGTGAAGCCCGGCCTCCCACCATGGCGGTCATGGCTGTCCGAGATATGGCTGCTGACCAAGGCGTCGGTCCCGGTGATTTTGGCGTACATGCTGCAGAACTCGCTGCAGACAATATCAGTCCTCGTCGTCGGCCGTCTGTCCCCAGAGGCGCTGGCCACCGCTGCCTTCTCTTACATGTTCGCCATGTCGACGGCATGGCTCATCGCGCTGGGTGGCACCACAGCGCTGGACACTCTGGCGTCCAGCAGTTTTACGGGGTCAACCAACAAGCATGACCTGGGTATCCTCCTGCAGAGGGGCCTCTTCGTGCTGTCGCTTTTCTACGTTATCGTTGCGGTGATTTGGTCTTTCTCCGAGCACATCTTCCGTGCCCTGGGGCAGGAGGAGTACATCTGCGTGCAGAGTGCTATGTTCCTGCGCTGCCTGATCCCAGGTGGGTTGGGATATGTATGGTTTGAAGCAATGAAGAAATATCTTCAGGCACAAGGTGAGTGGTAAAGCCATGCGCTTCTTGGTCCACTGCATCGTTGGAGCTAACCCGGTTAGAAATCTACCGCCCTGGCACCTACGTTCTGATTATCACTTCCCCCCTCAATGCCTTGCTGAACTATCTCTTCGTTCACGTCCTCGGCATTGGCCTCTACGGCGCGCCAATCGCCACAGGCATATCCTACTGGCTGTCCTTCCTCCTGCTCGTGGCCTACACGGTCTTTGTCAAGGGCCACGAGTGCTGGGGAGGCCTCGCACCGCGCAAAGCGCTCCAGCACCTGGGGCCATTCGCACGGCTCGCGGCCCTGGGCGTCGTCCACGTCGGCACCGAGTGGTGGGCGTTCGAGATCGTCGCCCTCGCGGCCGGGCGGCTGGGGACGATCCCGCTCGCGGCGCAGAGCGTCATCATGACGGCGGACCAGGTCATCAATACGGTGCCCTTCGGGCTCGGCGTCGCCGCCTCGGCGCGCATCGGCAACCTCCTCGGCGCTGCGAGGCCGGCCGACACGCGGCGCGCCGCCCACTGCGCCGCCGTCCTCAGCACGATTCTGGGAGCGCTCATCCTCGCCGTTCTCATGGGGACCAAGGACGTCTTCGGCCGGATCTTCAACGACGACGACAGGGTCGTCGAGCTGGTCTCGGAGGTGATGCCGTTCGTGGCCCTGTTCCAGATCGCGGACGGGCTGAACGGCTCGTGTGGCGGCGTCCTCAGGGGGATGGGCCGGCAGTGGGTTGGCGCGTTGGTAAACATTGTTAGTTACTACTGCGGTGCGCTGCCCGGTGGAATTTACCTTGCCTTCCACGGCTGGGGCCTCGCAGGTCTCTGGATTGGGCAGTGTGTTGCGTTGTACTTGGTGGGCATACTAGAGTGGGTTATTGTTGGTATGAGCAACTGGGAAAAGGAGGTCAAGAGGGCCAGCGACAGGTTAGAGGCCGGGGGAGTCGGCACCCGCAGAGATCAAGACGAAGACGACGGTGGTGCTTGAATGAGAAGAAAAGAAGAGACGTGAGAGAGAAGTGTGCTCATGATTACTTTTGCGACCAAAATGGGGTTTAGGAAAAACCTGCAGAGAGAAAAGTCGGATAGAAAAAGATATCTTAGACCAGGCGTTGACCTTGGAGGGAAAATGCCCATTTTCGCACTTTTCATTACGTTGGCAAGCTCAACACTGTCATATCGAGGCCTCTTTCTGACATTCTGCCTTGCATCTTGATGTTTCCCAGGTCTCCCTTAGGCGGTGTACAGTGTGTCCAGATCTTGTTTCTGTCGACGGTCTGAGACAAAGCACACAGGAGACCTAGTGCCCATGGGATCATGGCCCAAGGGATCATGGGGGTACAGAGGGAGCGCTGTTACCAGTAGTTCCGACTACTGCATGAAATCGAGATGGTGAACCCGAGTCGATGGTAACATGATGTGACAAGCGCAAGTGAGTTTGTGAAGCGGGCGACCACGATCATGGCTATCGAATCTGTGAACGGGATCGATGTGGTGCCTGGGTCAATGTTCCCGGACGTCAGCGGGGCCGAGAGCCATTCTGGACCACCCCCTGTGGTGGGGACCACACCCTGGCCAGTGTGACGCCATTAGCGGCCCTACTGAAATCGTAGGGAAGTCGGTTCTGCCACGCGGTTACAACTCAAAAACTCGAGGCTGAATTGGGACCTTGACTTCTTTATACTCTCCTCATGGATGCACCAACTCCAAGTTGACAACTGCTGCTTCTGTAGTCAAGCCTACAGTGCAGACCAGACCTAGAGTTCTGGGAGCCGTCTCTTCACCCCCAAGCCTAGACTTGCATGCTCATGTATCTTTTGAAGACGGTCCAGGCTCATTGTATTGCACCCCCTTCAGATGGCGGCCTCGACTGCTGCGGACTCACCGGCAGTGATAATACCTGCCCAGGTCGGCTTCCTGGCCATTTTCAACCCCAGCCTGGGTAACACAGACGAGACTCTTGACGACCAGATCGTCTACTATGCGTCCGTGGACACCCAGACTCAAAAACGGAAACGTCATCGAAAAGCACGCCCCACCGAGAATGTGTCCCAGGCGGAGCGCAACGAGAGGCTGAGGCAAATTGGCCTCGCCCAGGGCATGGTTAGCTTCAGCAAGGACTTTTCAGACGACCAGGCCGTAGACTCGATTGAAACGGAGAAGACGAGGGTAGTTCTCCACGAGTTGGAGCCTGGCTGGTGGATCTTGGCCAGTATTGACTTGACGCGCCTACCACTTCCGCCACCGAAGTCTGCGAAAAAGCAAGGCGACGCTGTAGGTTCTGCGGAGGAGCAGTATGAACACTCCTCGCGAGAGGTCAAACCCGCGACCCTGCTGCTCCAGGACATGCTCAGGGCGCACTCTGTCTTTTTGCTTCATCACGATTCTTCTCTGAGTTCATTGTTCATGAGGCTCAAAAGGGCCAAATTCACAGCAACTCTGTCGCGGTATTGGGACCTATTTCTCTCTACTTGGAACGTTTTGCTTCATGGAAACCCTGTCCAGAACATCTTTGGGGGCATCAAAATTGCTGCCAGTGGCGAGTTGGGCATAGGAGTCGGCGAGGAAGAGCGCGGAAGCGGCGAGCGAGAGGTTCTTGAGGGCTTTGTTGAGAGGACAGAAGGACTTGTCGATATCATCGTGTCCAAGTTTGGCGACAACAAGCCCGAGGAATCTCCCAAATCATGGGAGAGAACGAAACAAGGTCAGCAACCCTCCCCGCAATGGTTGGGTGCTACGAAGGAGCCCGGAGCCGAGGACGGCGCGGTATTCTTGGGAGTGGGATCTCTGTCCAGAAATTCCGTACGCGACATTACGCATTGGGTGGAAGACATATACACGTGGGGTGAAGATGCGTATGGAGTTCTCGACAGTCCGAAAGCCAACCGCCGATCAAGGAGGGAGTCCCGCGTGTCGGAAGAACGTCCGAGGAAGTCTACCTCAGAACGGCCTATGCAGCCACCTCCGAGTCTTATAAACCCCAAACGGCGCTCGAAACCTGCAGTCGCCAGTCCTCCACCTCAACAACGTAACGCGCCAGCGGGCTCTAAGGCAAGTTCGGAGACGCCATCTGCCGCGGCTGAAGAGGAAACCGGCGGGATTGAGAAATACATGGACTACCTGAAGCTGGGCTACGGCAAGTACTGGAGCCTCGGAGGAGATTCTGAAAGCAAGGATGGGACCAAGGACAGCCCAAGCTCCCCGGCAAGCCAGCCTTCTAAGGGTGATGACTCTGTTGGACACTTTCTCATCGGTCTTACGGGCGAGGTCGAGGAAGGCTGGGTTACTGATCCCGAGCAAAGGCGATTAGCGGACCGCCCTTGGGATGGAGACTCAAACCCACGTACTGTCCTCAGGACAGTGACTGTGGAACTGGAGACTAATGTTTCCGAGAAATCAGAAACATACATGTCAAAAGTTCTCGGCAGTCATGACACTGAGCTCTCCTCTACAGACGCTGCGACAGGCACATCGTTCGACAATCAGGACAGAAACAAAACTCACAAGCTTCGCGTGGTGGTCTACGTCATCAAGCCATTCATCTTCACATTCTTGTTCGAGCTCCGGACAGAGTCGCTGGCTTTTGAGTCGCTCTACCGCTCATTACATCACCAGATCTCACCGCTGCGGAAGGCACTCGGGAACTCGACAGCTTACAGGCCGGAGAAACCGAGTGCAGGTAGCGCGTCCGCGGCGATCTATGATCTTGTGTGGGACCCGAAGGACAAGACTGTGCATTCTACGATACCCAACATCCCTGACGCGGCAGAGATGTATAGCAGTGGAGACCAGCCGCCCTGGTCGCGCGTTGAAGCACTGAACACGCACATGCAGATCCTAAACTTATACAAGGCAACCAGGGCCGATCTGTCCGAGCTGGAGCGGACGGGCAAGACCAGCCGTGGCTGGTGGATCGTCTGGAGCCGTATCCTGGAGAGGAAGCCGGAGGCATCGTCGTCATTTGAATTCGACAGAGCATCTTCCAAGGATTCTGACAGCAGGGATGAGGAGAGCAATGAAGGCACAAGTGACGAGGCGACACACTCGTCGTCACAGACATCGACTGTCAAGGAGCTGCCGCTCATGTCTGTCAGCAAGGAGATCTTCCTCATCAGAAAGGCTAGTGACCACGCCGGGCACGGTAGGAGCGTGAGCCTCACCGGGGTTGCGGCCGGCGGGGGCTGGGCGGATGGGGCGAGTCGGCTGGCGCAAGGGATCGGCGTTGATACCAGGAAGTATATCGAAGGGTTGCTCAGCATGAACCGGTAAACAGCACAATGGGGATTTTGAGCGTCTGATCGGCGTTTGCGGGGCAGTGACCTACGTACGCAATTATCATCACCGATGATTTGGAAGCATACCAATGGATGGCTACGGGTTGGAACGGGCCCGTCTTGGTGACGGATATATGGGCTCCCATTGATTTAGCAATACGCGGGAAAACCTCGCGACATGGAAAATGTGGAAGCCTCTGTGTATCAGTTGTCGTGGATATAGCTGACGAAGTAAACCTTATGCGCAATGCCTTTAAAGATGACAATATTCCTTGCATCGGTACCGAGCAAGGCGGGCTTGAAAAGCCCGAGCCCAATTATCGGACGGGACTACTGGGCTTACCACCTGTCGAAGAGATACAATCAATTCGCAAGTTTGTGCTGACGTGTCGCCCCGCCTCTGTATAACAGAAGAGACGCTGCGGCATGTCCAGATGGCTGACCAGACAGGCTGGTCACAAGGCAGGACAGCAGCATGCACTGTCACTCGGCACGGGCCGAGGGGAAGGGGAGGGAAAAGATCGATTCGGTCACTCACCCGTCGTCAACGGAGGGCGGACAGGCCAAGAGCATCCGAGCCCGTCCAAACCGCCGAAGGGTGGTCGATCGTGAGGACTCTCTGGGGCTGAGGCACCCGACCATCCGAGGGTCCGGCGCGCTCACTCGCTGCTTGGTGCCGATCGGTAGGCGGTGGGTTGTCCACGTCTAGCAGGAGGTACGACGACATTATGCAGAGCCTGGCCATGCTACCCCCCATCTGCTGGTGAGACTCTCTGTCCTGTTGGCTGTGATGAACGACCATGTCGACTCTCTTGCGCAGCTCGCCACGACGGGTGAGGTGTCTGCCTCGCCTGCGCCACGACTCGATATTCGCAGCATGATGCAACCCTGCAGGCTGGATTGCGACGCATCTAAACTGGTTGACCGAATGTTACTGGTTTTGTAATATGATACGGTGCAGTAGAGACTCGCGGACAGAGCTACAGGTAGATCGATGCATTGATCAACTGTGAGGAGGATATTTGCTGGCCGGACTTGTCTGCACCTGATATAGCACCAGCTGATATAGTAATGGGCCGCCCCTTCAAGAATGAATAATTGTTCCAACAGATACTTATAATACTCCAAGTGTTTGCTGCCCTCGTCGTCGACACTTCTTTTCTTGCTCTTCAATGAGGTAACGATTTGATAGCTACAGTACCACTTTATGACATCGGCCTGTGGTCCTGAGTCTTGGTTAGCCCCTCCACTCCAGCCCGCCTTCCCAGGAACGGTACTGCACCTCCCTGGTCGTCTGCCCCGCATTCTCCTCCGGATGTGCAGGGAGCGTCATCATCTGCCCCTACCACTAGACAGTACGGTGCCACCAGCAGCAATCCGTCATTTGTGACGGACGGTGGTGACAGGACAAATCAATAATAGCCTAGGACGCAACCACAACGGCCACAACCAAAACCACAACCACCTTCATATCTTGCTTGGCCTATGATCAGAGGAGCAAGGTTGAGAGACGAGCGTGGCCATCACCCTGGCCACTGACTGGTGCTTTCTCCCACATAGTGAGTCATGCCCCAGCTGGACCAGTCCTGCTTCCCGGCAGGTTGAGATTGGGATGAGATGGTGGTGGTGTCAGTGTCGGTGTCAGTTTGTCTGTCTACCCACTAGGCTGACTTTCTATGTAGATTGTGGTCCAGGTGCACATTTCCTGACCACAGCAGGCATGTGATATCAATCAATCAACCAACAAAGCAAGGAAACAGGCAGGCAGGCACATCAATTAATCAATCAGTCAATCAATCAATCCACCCACCACAGTCACTATCACTGTCACTGCCACCAACTCTGGCTTTGGCTCTGACGCTGACACCCACTGCCGACAAAAAACACACACAGACACAAGCGGACAGGCCCAGCCTCCAGCCCTCCCGAGGTCTTCTGTCCCTGCTTCTGTGCAGCTTATTAGGTGGGCCTCGTTTAGGACATCAGGCACCCTTGTCAGCGATCCCACCCTTTCCCCATCCCCCCTCCACCCAAACTTGGCCACAGCCAACAGGAAACTGGCACCACAATTTACGACTCGAGTGCCGTGTGTACTGCGCTGCGCTGCCACTTGTTAACAGTACCACAGTACTGTCTGCTGCTGCTACTGTTGCTGCTGCTCCTGTCAGAGAGGCCACAAAAGAAATGGCTCCTCCGCGCCCCTCCTACGCCATCGACGACGGGGAACTCTCCATCTCCCTAAGCTCCTCCCAGATGCGACGAGGCAGCCGCATCAATGTCAACAGCCCCCTCAAGACCCCCGACAACACCAATCCCGCTCACCAAGACTTCGTCGACCCCCAGAAGCCCTCCTCCAACATGGCCTCCGCGGCCACGGCGACTGCGGGGCCCATCCCTGATAAGGTCAGGACAGACCAGCGCATCGGCCAGTACAACATCGTCAAGACACTCGGCGAGGGCTCCTTCGGCAAGGTCAAGCTGGCCGTGCACCGGAGCACCGGCCAGCAGGTCGCCCTCAAGATCATCTCCCGCAAGAAGCTCATCAGCCGTGACATGGCCGGCCGCGTCGAGCGCGAGATTGAGTATCTGCAATTGCTGCGGCACCCACACATCATCAAGCTGTGAGTGGAGGACACCCCCCCTACCCCTGACGTCGACATCCTCCTTTGTCGCCTTTGCGATCGCGCCGCCTGCTGACCGTCGTAACCAGGTATACCGTGATCAAGACGTCCAACGAGATTATTATGGTACTCGAGTATGCCGGCGGAGAACTGTTCGACTACATCGTGCAACACGGCCGTATGGAGGAAGATGAGGCACGGCGTTTCTTCCAACAGATGCTCTGCGCCGTCGAATACTGCCACAGGCACAAGATTGTACACCGAGACCTCAAGCCCGAGAACCTGTTGCTGGACGACCAACTGAACGTCAAGATTGCCGACTTTGGTCTCAGCAACATCATGACGGACGGTAACTTCCTTAAGACGAGTTGTGGTAGTCCGAACTACGCTGCGCCAGAAGTGATTGGAGGCAAGCTTTATGCCGGTCCAGAGGTTGACGTATGGAGCTGTGGCGTTATCCTCTACGTGCTGTTGGTCGGCCGACTACCATTCGATGATGAGCACATCCCCAGCCTGTTCGCAAAGATCGCAAGAGGGACATATGCGGTGCCAAAGTGGATGAGCGCTGGTGCTGCCAGCATGATTAACCGGATGCTCCAAGTCAACCCGGTACAGCGTGCAACCATTCCCGAAATCCGACAGGACCCTTGGTTCATGAAGAACCTGCCCGAATATCTGGCGCCGCCAGTCGAGCCCTTCTACAACACCGGTATCGACCCTGACAAAGCCATCAAGCCTTCAGATATCGCCCCCAACGCCCCCACCAAGGTGCAAGAAAAGCTCCATAATGAAGTGACGGAGAAGATCTCCAAGACGATGGGCTACGGCAAGAAGGATGTCCAGGAAGCGCTCGAGGCTGCTGAGCCGTCTGCAATCAAGGATGCGTACATGATTGTGCGCGAGAACAAGCTGATGCAGGTTAATCGTAAGTGCCGCAGCACCCCCACAAATTTGGTTGTCCCCGCCCTTGCCTGGCTGGTCTTGTTTCCCAAGTATATGCTCTATTCCCATGGCTATACCGGCTTGCGCTTTGCTTGAAGCTGACCGCTGTTGTGCTTGCTAGCCCTGCTCGGAGAAAACAATCCTTATTTCCCATCGTCGCCACCGAGTGTTAATGAGGTTACTTCAGGCATGGAGTCGCTGAACACAGAGATGGACCGAGGCGCAAGCCCTCTTGCGAGTTCTGCGAGGTCGATCACATCCAACAGCACCACAGCTTCACCGCGGCCGTACGTGTCGAAGGTCGGTATCCTACCGAGTAGTCTGACCGCATATCATAAAGATTTTATGGAGCGGGAGAAGGCTGGCTTCGAGGACCCACCAGCACCTCCTGCTTTGCCAGAACCTGGTCATCCTCGGTCGGAGGACGAGCGCCAAGAGACATTGCGTCGGTTGAAGCCCCATGCCCGTAGTTCAGATTCTGCCAAAAGACCGCAAGGCATGACTCCTGTGAACCCTCCAAAGAAGCCGAAGGCAACTAGGTGGCAATTCGGCATTCGTTCGCGCAATGCGCCATGGGAGGCTTTGGGTGTCATCTATAAGTCACTCTCTAAATTGGGCTGCAGCTGGGTCCCAGATGAGGACTACGAAAAAGTTCATGGCTCCGAAGATGACCAAAACGGCGGCGAGTCACGATCTCACCGTCGCTCAGCAAGCAGCCGGTCGACTGACCCCACCAAGATCTACAAGCTCCCAGCGGACCCATGGCATCTCCAGGTGCGCTGGGAAACAGAAAAGCTGCGCAAGGGTCCGCACGTGCCTGAAGACATCGTGCAGGACCCCGCTGTCGTCAAAAACGGCGACGACGAATACCAGGTTGTGGCGATGCGCTTGGACATTCAAATCTACGAGATGGCAGAGCCGGGCTCGTATCTCGTTGACTTCAAATGTGACGGTTACGAGACGCCTGACGGCAGGATCCTGGAGGAGAAGCAGGTTACGAGCCCCTTCCCCTTCCTAGATCTCGCGGCAAGACTTATCATGCAACTGGCGGATGCGGAGTGAAGCAGGTAATTTTACGTTTCCTTGGGATAGGATACCGTGGGTGTATCCGGGGCTCTCAGCTCTGCGGTTGCATCTCGGATGCAGTTCTATGAAAGTCGCGCACACATCTGTTGCGCCTTGTGACTCAGACTGCCCAGAAGGGCAAGCCGAACTTCATACGTCGAGCATGAATCCAGACTTGCCGATGTTCGTCATTTGCAGCGGCTAGTCCAAGACAAATTGGTTTCTGTGTTTAGATTTGGAGGCACACTGGCAGGATTGATTGGAAGAGCGTTGGCGTTGGGGAAGCCTTGAGCTGAAGGGGATCAGCATGGGGGCGAAGCCAAGAATTGGCTCCGTACTACGGGACAAGCGTCGCGCCGGGGACACGCTTACGGGCCCGGGCTAACACGGGCTGAACACGGGCGCGGAGGCGCGTCTGCCTTGGGACGACGCGTCGTCTTCCCGCCGTGGCGGGCACGACTTCATCTCGGCCGGCGCGGTGTGGCAGCCATTATGCAAGAGTGCGGCGCCGGCTATTGGGTGGCGAGGCCCCGGAGGCTGGTTGGAAGGTTTTGCGTCATGCAAGAAGCCTGAGTGAGAAGCCTGGCTGCATATGCTAATTTGTATCGAGTATCTATTGCAATTGTAATGGCTGGCTTGTTTGCCACGACTGGGACCAGCATGCTGTCGGCTACCACCACAATCGCTTTCAATGCGAAAAGGAGGCTGCCCGCATATTCAGTCTAAATTATCATTGTGTCTGGTCAAATGACGGTGGCCTATGGTTCAAACTTTTTGATGTGGCAGAGCTCTCCGGATCGGAATCGAGGGAATGATTCGGTCATGCTGGGGGGCACTGACAAGACACTGTCTATTGCCCGAAGATACTCTCACCAGAGCATTGGGCTCAATGACTCCCCGACGAGAATGCGTGCCAAGACTCAAGTGCGAAGCTCCGTACACCGGCGGCAACAACACACTCTCGTGGTGTCACTCTCAGTCGCACCAATTTGTCATCTTGGGCCACGTTTTCCCCGTGCATTAGAGGTTTCGTCGTCATAACAACCACAACCATCATCATCGTTGTCAGCCTCGGCCCTTTGTGCATACCCGCCGCACGCGTGACCACCACCCACCTAATGCAGATAGACGTGGATACCTGTGAGATGAGAGACATTAAACAACGATGGGACCAAGACACGACCTCGGAACAGCTGCAGCGCCCCATCTGCGTGGGAACCTTCAATCTAACCCCTCGCTCTCGATCTCACGATACGGAGGGCCCAGTGCCTTCTTACTGGTAGCTATTTTTGATACGGATAGACGTGGACATACCTCGAGGAGTTGAGGAGGCTAGGATAACACGGCAGTATCCATTTGTTCCTCCCCCTCTCGTCTTCCCTAATGTCTCACGATACTAGTGCAAAGGAGAGGAGCAGGTGGTGCCCCTCTGGACCCCCTCTGCCCCTCTAGCTGGATCCGGAGCAGTGGTACGTTCGGAGCACAGGAGGACGTGGGTGGTGCTCTACGTGTGAGGGTCAAGTGCAAACCCGCCAATTCCTCGAGGACCCATTCCTCCTGCTTTCCCCTCGATCGCCTCAAAGTATCTCGCGATGTTGCGGAGCCCAACCCAGTGGCCCTGCCTTCCCTCGCGCCGATACCCACCACGTGATGGGACCAATGCATGTACTATGCAGTGTGTACATCCCATTGTACGGAGCAGAATCAACGTGGAAGCTTCTTCGACTCGGGCACAGGCACAGATCGAAGCCTGACCCCAGCCCGTGACTCTTACTCTCCTGACTCTCCGTCTCCGTCTCCGTCTATCTGGCGTGGCAGCCGTGGCCGTCTGTCTTTCCCCCCTTCTTTCTCTCTACCCGCCAGACTTCACCCCCCCTGCTCATCCTCCATCAGCGCACTTGTTCGAGTTGACGATAGTGTCATGTCATGATCCTCGGATCCACACTGGGCACCTCTGCTTTGCCTGGCGCGGCGGCCGATAAGCGACGTGGACAACTCGGCCTGGCAACTCGGCCTAACAACTCGGCACCGTCGCACTCGTGGTCCTGCCCGTCTTGCCGCCCGCCCACTGCCGCCGGCCATCTGGCCCCCCTCCCCCTCTTCTCCTCGTAGCAAAGACGATCAGTCCCCAGGGACGAGATATTCCCACCTCGGCGCAAGCTGGCGTGCCCACTCCCTGCTGGGTCAGTGCTGGGTCAGTAGCCGACGTGGACGCCTATCTGTTGGCAGGACAACTCTGCGGCACGGATAATATTTCCTTCGCGCGCCGGTCTGGACAGCTTGAACTGCCGCTCCTTTGCTGGCGATGGAGAAAGGACCCACTTTCTCGTCTCCCGGGTTCAGTAGATTGGAGGGAAGCCACGCAGCAGCACTGCTGGCACTCTACGGAGTCGGCGGACAAAAAATTGATTGATTGATCGGATTGATTGATTTACTGATTGCCAGATTGTCGAGGTCCGCAACCCCGTCCGATCCGCGCCCAGGGGGCCGGGGGAGGGGGTTGATGTGCGAGGGTTGCCGCTCGAGGCGGTGAAGATTTCATGATGCACCCGTCAGGGGTGGGAAATTCGCCGAGGGTCCCTCTCTGCTGCAGCAAAGCAGTCGGTACTTTCCTTTCTTTGGAAGCCCGTGGATAGGCATGGAAGGAAACGAACAAAAGGCGTTGGTCCCTTTTCTGACAGGTCCCACAGTCATGCCAGCTCAAGATGGAGACGCTGAGAGAAAGGGGAATAGATGGAGGGGGAAGGGGAGAGGGAGTTGTTTGCTCGCGGGCTTGGCTCGCGATCTACCTCGCGCCGCATCACCCCGTCTGTTGAACCAGCGCCGAGCCGATCGACTGGAGTCGGGGAATTGTCCAATTGATGACTCGGGGGATTCGTTGGTCGTCATTGTGTTGTCCAATTGCTTTGAGCGCCGACACTTTGGGCAGCACCGGCATGGTGTCACAACCTTCTCGTGCTGACACGTGACTGGGGAAAGCTGTGTCCGTGTATTCCGAGGACGATAGGTTCTGTCGTCTGAGCAGCCATCCCACCAACCAACCAGACTAGTCTACTGGAGCAATTGGTCTCGTCCTGCCTGCCTGCGTGTACAGCAAGGCAAGCTACGGAATACGGATGGAACCAGTCCAGCCTGAAGGCCTGGCCGCAGCGGCATTGCGCCACGGGCAGAACCATGTCAAGCTGATGGAGGGTGGCAGTCTAACAAAGGGTTCCTGCGCCCGCGTCCCAAAGTGGAAAGCAACGGCAAACACTAAGGGAACCTAGGAGAAATACGCAACCGCTAGCTTTCCATCTCGAAAATGCCTGACTGGGGCATGGCCCATAGTGTCTCCAGCCAGTGCCTGACGGCCCTGGTTGGGACAGGAGCATGGTCTCCGGTTGAAGAGGGTCTGCTGTGTATCCTCCTCGAGCCGCTGGTGATCCTGATATTTACCATGGACATAGTCTAGTAGATAGCGACACATAGCGTGGAGAGTCAAGAGGTCAGCAAGCCTATTCCCCCAAGATTCGGCACCCAAAATTTGACCTGTCTGAATTTGTTTCCCACAAGATGGCCCGTTTCGAAACCAAACCACAGATCCTGTGGACCCGGGCCGTCGAATAGGAGCCGGTTCTGGGAGCAAACCAGACCGCAAGAGAAACAGCAGAGAAACATCAGATGGGTACAGCACGCCAGCAGGGGTAGTGCGGTATCACCTCGCAGCAGATGTGGGGAGGAGGACAAGGTAGGGGACAAGGTACTGCGGACAGAATGCCAAGGATGCATGATGCAGTAAACTAGGTGACTAGATAGTACAGTAGTACAACAGGCAAGAAAATAATACCGCAGGAAGAGACGAGGGACAGCGGGACAACGCGGAGCCAGGCCGAAGCCTTGGGAAGGGGCAGGGAGGGTCCGCCTGGGCTGTCATCAGGGTTCATTGGCGATCCCCCGGAACTTCGCACACACAAGGTGGGCTTCTGGGTGATCCTATCGCGATTTGATGACGGGAATGTGATGGGCGCGTGGGGAAACGTGAAGCGTGGCAGACTGAGGTGAGGGCATTGATCGGATGAGGATTGCCTTCCTGGGTCCTGTGGATGGAGCGACAAGAAGAGCAGACTATCTACGCCTAGCACAGCCTGGCAGCCTGGCTGTTGGGTGACTGATCTTCTCGTGGAAAGGTGCGGCGTGGATAGTAGCAGATGGGGTTTTGGGGGTCGAGGGCGGGGGGGATCGTGGCATGATGGATGCCGTGTCGCTTGCTTGCAGTGCTTGCCTACTGGCACGAGGACGAGGTCGGCTGTGGCAGGCTGGCTGGCAGCTTGTGGATGGGGTGATGGGGTGGTGGTCAGTCAGTCTGGCAGTCTGGCTCGCCTTGCCACTCTGGCGGTTTGGTTGGCTGGGTCCTGTCTCCCGTCCCCTCCCAATCGAATTCTCAACCTTCCATCCCCATTATTGTCCATTCGAATTGGATTGGACTGGACTGGACTGCATTGGACTGGATTCGGAATCGACTGGACCCTCTCGTCCTCCCATCTCCTGTTGTCTGCCACATCTGCCCTCCTCCTCTACTGTACTGCAGCCTTGTTTCTTGCGCCATAGGACCATTGAGGAGCTTCCCGACATCCTCAACGTCATGCAATTACTCGACAACCAGGGTGTTGGCAGTAGCATTCAATGCCGCCATTGTACACGACGTGAAGTCAAATTCGCCTGCCCGGCAGTCCGGCTGTCACTGTCGCAGATCTGATCGACAACCCTAACCAGACCACACCAAAACGAAACGAAACGCAGCATGCCGGCAGCGGGAGCGCTTGTGTCTTTATAGTTCGAGGTTATCCAGCCTTAACCCGCGTCTGCGCGTCAAAGGCGCGTTAGTTTCGCGTTGTGGCAGCTTGATTGGCCTGTCTTGCCTGTCTGGCTTCCGTCTGGTTCTTCGAGAACCATGGCCCAGCCACACTCCTTTCGCGTCGATGGCGTCGTCCAAGAGCTTCCCTCCTTGAACTCGCAGCATGGGCCCACGATGCCACCCCGTTTGACTGGCCCAGACCGCATGTCCGATGAGACCGGCATATTACCCGAGGACCGGCTTGATAGGCTTGACAAGTGCTTTGCTGCAAGTGGCCGAGCTCGGGCCAGTGAGAAGATGCGGCGCGGCCAACCTCCATGCTCGCGCACGCGAGCCTTACCCCCATCCGCTGCCGTCCACCCCCCCAGGACTTCTTCCCTTCTGGTCCTCGATTGACGGGACAGCCGCCACCCCTCATGCAGGCTGCAAGGTACCCTGTTTGTCTCTCCCTGTCGCCAGACTGGCCAAAATGGCTTCCAGAGAGACAAGCGAAAAACTCTCGATGCGCGAAAGCGGGTCATCATGCATGGCTCCCACTGCTACCAGTGGTGCTACTGCAGGGCTTTGCTGCAAGCCGAGGTGAGTCATTCAGTCACCGCCATCCACTCGTTTCCAGCCTCCTCGAGTGAAGAGCGACACCGACGGCCTACCCCTCGACGAGGGTAACCCAAGCAGGGGGCCACAGGTACATGCGGCGCTGCGCGATGCAGTACATGGGATTTCGAGGACACCGGCGAAGTGGGATTGTGGTGGGAAACGAGATCAACAGTCTACGGTCCTCGCTCTACATACAGATGAGGGGGCAAACAATCGAATCCGCCTGGGTTGAGCCATTTTGGATGCCCAAGTGGGTATTATAGACCATCCACCCTATCACCCACCTTGATGACCCAATTCCTCAGAGTTGGAATCAACCTTAATCCGTCGTCCATCTTGAATTGCCTCTTGAACCCTTTGTGTGCGCTCACCGCCAGGTCGCCTCCCACATCACAACGGTCATTAGTCCACACACACTACTGCTCTATCTCACGAACTCTTCATCGAGATCATTGAATCACATCCCGCGCTTGACAACCTGTTTGCGAGCGAATTGGTGCCCAATACCATTATCACGAACCTTAAGATCGAAGGCCAACCTACTAGTGCGAACTGCTGCGAACCGTTCGTGCCCACGGGAAGCGAATAGCTTCAGTGGGACGAACGTATCCCACCTCCTGCTCGCAGACCGAGACCATTGTTTGCCTTGCGGCTCTTGTGCAACACTTTCTATTCATGGCTGGCTTGATTGCCCGTCGACCTACTCATATTAGTTGAAATATCTTAATCGCAGTTCGATTCTCGCATTGGGACGGTGTCAGGCGAATCAAGTAACACGGAATTCTACCATCGAACAAACCAACGCACGACTTACACCAAAACACCAACACCCGACAGATTTGAAAACAAAACAATTCAGAGAGGAGCTCGCACAACAACAATTTGAGTTTGGGGGAGAGATGCAAACACAATGGCTTCCGAAAACCACCCTTTCTACAGCATCTGGGCGTCTGAGTCGATCCGTGAGCGGTTGTTCGCGAATCTGAGCAAGTCGGATATCTGCTCAGTCCGGCTGGCCAATTCAGCCTGCTGCAATCTGGTCACGCGCCGGCTCTTCCAACGCGTGCATCTCAGCTTCACGCCCAACAGCTTCACCAAACAGTCCCGCATACAGGCCCTGGGCAGAATCGGACACCATGTCGAGCACCTTATTTTCTACCTCCCTCACTCGGAAACCACATTCCTTCCGCCGCTCATCCACCCGCAGACAGGATCTGAGATCTCATACCTTTACACACCGCACACATCTATGACCAGCACACTCACGAGACCCAAGTATGGAAACTCGGAATTGGGTGACATTCTCACGCAGCAATACCCGCCTCTCTTTCATGCTTCGACAAATGTTCCCAGCTTCATCCACGCGATGAAGAACTTGCCAAATATGAGACACCTGACTATCAAGACACCTGGACAGGACGCCAGGGAACGGTATAGGAGAGATATTGTCGACTACGCCCTCATCAGTCTGAGGATCGCCATCGAGCGCACACCTCAATTGACCAAACTAACAAAGCTTTCATTGTCCGGTGTGCACCCGGCAGCATTCTTGTATCTGAAGTCTGAAGGCGGCCCTGGCTTCGGCTGCTCTCCACGTGGGCCTAAGCGATGGCGCCAGATCCGCAAGTTGCATGTTTCAGTCGAAGCATGGGATTTCTATGGCCCCGGCGGCCCAGGCCTGGACCAGCTCAAGATCATTGACGACTACCTGCGCAACTTCTCCGACTGTGTTGAGAAGCTCTCTTTCACTTGGACCGGCGCAAAGGGCCCTTGCCCCTTGGCGCTTGCGGAAGACGCGCTGTTTGACCCGCCAAGGGAGTGCAAGAAGCTTTTCAATGAGGTCACAAGCCCCATGAGCCCGCTTCCAGCCACTCCTGGTGTGAGACAGCCCATGCGCTTTACTCGCCTGAAATACATGCAAGTCAGAAACGCGTCCATGAGTGAGGCGCAATTGAGGAGGCTCGTCGAAGGCCACAAGGCGACGGTGAAGGAGTTTGACTTTGAGAATGTGGTGCTTCTCAATGGTGGCAATTGGGATGAGGCACTTGCGCCTTTGATGGCGCCCGCTGAGAAGACCGGCAGAGAGCGGAGCGATACTTGGTCGAGATACTCGGTCGGAATGGAAGGCAACGACAACATGCCTCCCCCCAGTCCTGTCGAGAGCGTCAGGACAGTGGCACCGAGGACTCCCAAGACTCCTAGGAGTCCAAGGACACCAAGGACCCCAAGAAGCAGTGTTGCCCAGGATGACGAGGTCTCGGTCCGTCACCCTAGCGCTGCTGTGGAAGCTGTTGGCAGGGACTTGCTTGATGAGATCGAAGACGAGATGGAGGCCTTTGTGGGTCTCAGCCGCAACACGTCCAAGGCGGATGTTTGCTACTTCGACAACAAAGAGGAGATTATTGTCGAGCTGGATGAGGATCTCAGCGAAGAGCTCAGCCTCCAAAGGACACTCACCGCCAGTGACGAGGCTCACCTGCCCGTCACAGCTGCTACTAGCCAGGCCAGCCTGGACACTCTGGGCGCTGAGGAGGCCTTTAGCGGCAAGCTGAGGAAGAAGCGCGTGCGCAGGAGGATCCGTAAGCCCTGGCACCCCAAGCGCGAGGATGGTGAGCAGTCCGAGGACGAGGACGACCCCAACTATTACCCTCCTCGTGCAAATGAGGAGATCAAGGAGAAGCACTCACTCGCCAGCTTCCTCCACCACAAGCGCTCTGGCTCATCTTCGCATTCGAGCAAGAACAGGAACGTGCTCCGCCGTGCGCGCCAGTCATCGGACCCGGGACCATATTCTTCCTGCCAGATCTTGGACCCGAACACGTACGAGATCCAGCTGCCAGAGGTGATTGGCTCTGATGATGATACTCTCACCCTGAGGTCAAGCAACGCGAGCCAGAGTCAGACCACTCTGAAGTCAAGCATTGCTAGCCAGAGCCAGACCACTCTGAAGTCAAGCAATGCCAGCCAGAGTCAGATTACTATCAAGCCATACAACGCCCCCAGCCAGAGTCAGACTCGACTGCCCAGGGCACCATCTCACCCCTTGCCCCCGGTGCCACTCAACATCTCGGCACCAATGCCAGCAGAGCAACTCCCCGTCCTGCTGCAGCCAGCGGTGTACAACCCGCAGGCATCGACGACGTCGATCCCGATGCCTCCAGGCTCAAGGGGTAGCGGCGACAGCAGCAACTCGATCAGCGCGCCGCTGATGCACGGAAACGGGCAGGGCCACAACGTCAACGACGGGCTGTCGGCGGTGCAGCGCAACCTGGAGCAGGAGGAGATGCAGCTGCGGTTCGCCGAGGACGCCGAGGCGCGGGCCAACGCGCTGCAGAAGGCGCGCGACGCGGTGCTGCGCAAGCTGGGCAAGCTCAACGCGGCCAACGCCATGAACAAGATCGACGAGGGCCCGCGGCTGGAACAGCACCCGGCGCTGGTGCGGACCAACAGCGGGCAGGAGCGCGCCCCCACCGGGCCGCCGCCCGACAACAACAGCAAGACGCACCTGCGCATCCGGGAGCTCCTCGGCGCCGGCGTGAGGCAGAACAGTGCCGAGACGTACAAGACCATCGAGTCGAGCAGCTCCCTGCTCGTGCCACTGGTGTTTAGCGGCAACTGAAGTGTTAGATTACTGAGGGAAGAGGGGATCTTAACAGCACCCAGGGAAAGGAAGAGTCATCAACAGACAAACACACAGACGAATTCGAGGGGGTTGGGGGAGGCTTCATTGTCTATTTTGGGAGAAGGGGTTACATGGGATGGGAATGGGAACATCATTGGGATGGGATGGGATCGCCGTTTGAAACCGGGGCTTGAAGTGCTCAGAGAGGCCTTAGGTGCGGCTTAATGATTATTACGAAACACGAATATCTATTTTTTCAATACAGATTTCTTTGTATATATATATACAAAACACACAAAACTCTCTCGACGTCCCTTTCGCATTCTGGTCTCAGTGATTCCGCGCCTTGAGCTAGCTACCCGGCAAGAGATCAGCTTCAGCAACGAGCATTATAACTGCCTGTGATCGAGTGTCCGTTGGCAGTCAATGTCATCTTAAATTTTGAAGTAGTGACGGTAGTTGAATACGCGTGGCTCCTCTCGGCCCTTTTCGCCTCAATGACTGCCGCCCAGGGGCCTGGAGATATTCTCGCTGAGTAACCCCAAAAACCCCTTGCCTGTGTTTCTCTCCACCACACCTTGTGCATTCGGGGAAAATCCCGGTCCTTGTCGCCTGACAAACCTGCCTGGGAAGAAAATGAGTGTAATAAGTCTCACCCCGTGACACATTTCACGCTTGTGGGCAAAAATCATCAAACGTTCAAGCCTGGCTGGACGGATGGATAAATATGCAATCAGCGGGCGCGTACGTCCTCACCCGAGTGATGTCCCAGGGCCCTGTTAGCGTGTTGTCCTAATTATTAGCAGCCGTTGTGCGCATTGCACATCTCGGTTGAGGGAAAACACCTTTCCTCTTCTGAGGTGCTGCCCCTGCAGGCTAGCTAATGTGGTTTACCCGCATGGGAGGAAGAGCGATGCTGCTGCTGTTTGTGTGGGAATGGTCGTCTGAGTACAGCAAAGCGCGGGTGTGGGTGAGACTGCATCCGGCCTTGTTCGCCACGGTTGTGGTGCGATGTGATGCGCCGAGTGTGATGCGCCTGTGATGCGCCTGCGATGTGCCTGATGGCGATGCTGGTTGAAACTCGACCAGAAATCTCGTGAGACGTGATCTGTCTTTGCCGTCAAGCTTGGAACTAGATAGACTAGAGATGATGGGGACCCTGACAGGGCAGACAGGGCAGACGGACAGAAGCGGGCGCCGGAGGCAGCAAAGAGCCAGGAGAGCCAGCAGAGCAGAGCCAGCAGAACACGACGCTTGGATGTCTTGGGCCATATTCCCAATGGTGGTTAGCGTATTATGGGCTGGGGTGGGACGTGGAAGTGGTCTAGACTCTCCTCCAGACTCTGCGAAAGCCTGCGGCGAGGGAGAAATGGAACATTGGGCCGATCGTCGTCAGCAATTCCCGATCTGTGTTTTGTTCCCTCGACTTGGGCCCTAGGGGCTAGGGGAGAATGGATTCGCAGCGTGGAGAGTGACACACACAGAGCGAGAGAGTTAGTTAGAGGAGATGGAATAAAGAGGGAGATAGTCAGTAGACAAGGCTGCGGAATCACGGACAGAGAGTACCCAGATAGATTAGACGAGTGTCACTGTCGCTCTCTCTCGGACCCGGAGGGAGCAGCCTCGTGCTTCATGCTGGGTCTGATCTCCCGCGGTCCACCTGCCCACCCGTGCTTCCCCCAAGGCCAAAAGGCCCACGGACTTGCACTGATCCTACCGTGTGCCTACTTGGGCGCCCCAGTCTTGGAGACTGGGGCACCCCAGCCCTCATCTTCGCCTTCTCCCCAAGGCCCCGGGGGAGGGCCTGCAGCTATCAAATCCAATTGCAAGGTCGGCTTTCGAGTTTTGGATGCAATTGCATCTTTCGTCCCTTCGTCCCATCCACTTGTTGTCCTTGGCCCTCTGTCCTAGATCCGCGCCAACCTCGCACCAAACCAAGAGAGCATCCTGCCTTCTTAGAGGCCGTTCAGTCCGTGACACGGCAGCCGGCGTTGCTTCTCCCTCAACCCCAATCGACAGTAGAGGGGTTCCGTTCCTGTTCCTGTATTGCATTGCACGCGGGCTTGGGCCGACTGCGCTTACTGACTGACGGATTGACTGCCGCCCGTCCCAACTCCACACACTTCCAGAGATCGACATCCCGTCCAACCGTGAACCCGACGACACCAGCATAATCATTCACATTCACCTACTCGTGGGCCCCTGTAATTTTCCAATATTCGAACGCTCGCGCTTACTACGCTGTCGCCTTCAGCCCAGTCCGATACCACTTACAATTCTACGAGTCAGTGGGGGCTTCATCTATCGACGCGCTTCGACACCTCTCCACGGCCTCGAGGCTGTCTGGGGACCGAGTGAGGCAAACACGCGCACCGGCCGTTCCGTCTGGGCTCACCATCCACGAGCCCTGCATCGCGCTGCAGCTTGCCGTACCTCGCGTGCTGTGAGACCCGCTGTCATTTCATCCTACGTCCAGCAACCCCGGCTTCCCAGCTGTCTGCGCCGAAGAAGTTGTCGTGAACGTTCTCACCGTCGCGGTCGATCGGCCTTGGGTCTTTGCGCCCTCTGCCCCCTTCCTCACTCGCTTGAAGAGCTATCTCAGGGCGCAACGTTGCCGGCTTGGTTCTAAACTACACCCACAAGATCCGGCGCCCAGGAGATGACTGGATAATACCGACCTTCCTACTGCACCACTCTTCCACGAGTTGAACCTACTTCCAGGCACGATAGGCCTCTTCGCCGCCGTCTCGTCATTCGTTCATGAACTCGGCCCTCAAGCAAAAATACCTCCTATCTTTGTTTTTGTTGGAAGGCATTTCTTTTCTTCTTGACGAACTTCCAAAGAATGCAGATCGTGCGAGGTTGTCCAACAGGCTTCCCCTCATAGCCTGGGCATATCACACATGAGGTGCAAGATGAGGATTGCCATTCGAGAGCAATTGGCTTTACTGTAAGTACTGGGAGAACCCGCTGGTTCCTGTTGTCCCCTGGGCTTGACTGCTTCTCGGTCCGATTGTTGTTGGGGACTGGCGCGCTGGCTCTGGTGCTAGGCATCTCGCCAGGACCGCCGGTCATAGGTCCTAGCATTGACTCCTCGGACGATTGGCTAGAAAATATATACTGACTCGATTCACAGTGTCACCCTCGTTGTACTAGTCGGGCTCGCCATTGTATCCGTGCCAACATGGATTTTCGTCAACAACTTCGGTGCGCATCCCAGTACAGCTGTCTTCTGTTCAAGCAACACTGACCAAATGCAGTCATCCAAGTCCAGTCGAGCGGCTTGGCCTTGACAGCTTCACTCAAGGCCACCCGCATCGCGTCTGAGCTCCAGCTGATCCAGACGACCTGTTCGACAATATCTACGAGAATATTGATCCAACAATCGCTGGTGACATACTACGAAGGCAACACGACCGATAGTAATTGGGCTTCTGCGACCGAGGACTTTCAAAGCGCCCTTGGCTCTGGCGGAGGGAATTTGTACCAAGTCAAAGTGTACTCCAGAAACACCACGGGTCCGAGTAATGGCCTCTTCAACGCCACTGGTAAAACAACTCCACGCATCGAGCTTCCCTATGAGACGTCCGATGGAAACAGGCCGTTCCTCGGTGACGCGGACGGAGGCTTTCCGCCGTCGCTCTATCCCAACATCACGTACAATGACACGGGCGTGCCGAGCACCAACAGTCCGTCCACAAATACATTTACGGCTTACGCCTTCTCCGGCATTCAGCTCAATCAAGGCAATGGCCTATTGCTGGGTCCTCTGATGATCAACGAGACATTTGCCCTGATTTCACTGACTATAGTAAGCTGGGAGACTCCATCCTGCTCGCGTCACTCACTCCTGACTGACAACAATTAGCCCATACGATCCATATCACAACCGGGTTTTATCTTGGGATACATGACCGTTGTCGCTTCTGGAAGCCCCCTTGTGAACGTGGCGAGTTCAAGAGAAGGCATGGGTAACACGGGTGTCGTACTGATTATCGGTCCAGAGGCCGCATCAAATCAATTCGACCCAACACTGCCACCGAGCAATTCAACGTACACGCCGACTGACCGGGATGCCTTCGGAAATACTCCAATGAAATTTGTCCTTCCCCCCATACCAGCGCCCAATGGCGCAAGACGGCATGATCAGCACAGCTACAGTTCTGGATCTTACGACCGCCCCTTCCGATTGAAGGACTACCCAGTCTTGATGACAGAGTTCTCAAAACAGGTCGACTCAGTGAACAACGCTAGCGCGAATTTGTGGACGAAAAATGAGCAAAATACCGATGTCTCGGTCGGGTTCGCCCGGCCACAGAACACGCTTTTCACTTGGGCGGTGATTGTTGAGCAGGCACGCTCCGAAGCCACGGCTCCGATCAGCACGTTGCGTACTATTCTACTTGGTTGTGTCTTTGGTACTGCTGGCGCTGTTGCGCTCCTCGTCTTCCCGTGTGCCCACTGGAGCGTCATGCCGATTCGACGGCTCAAAGATGCTACAGAGAAGTCTGTTGCTCCACCAGGATACCAGGACGACCTCGCGAGATTCAACACATATGACGAAGACGGCATGATCTCGGGTACTACATCTAAGAAATCTGTGAAAGGCATGGTGGCATGGTTCTCCCGGAAGTTGGGGCGCCATCACCGTAGACGCCTCCTGGCAGACGCCGAAAGCGACTCACACCGACGTGTCTTTAAAATTCCGGGCAAAGTGGAAAGTCACAAACACATAGTCACCGATGAGTTGACGGAACTAACGACAGTTTTCAACGAAATGAGCGACGTGAGTTCCACTCCGAAGCCGTCCTTCACAACGAATTGTCTCTTGGGAAGCTCTAGGCAATCCCACAGTCCTTGATGGAACCCATCAGTGGGAGCAAACACTAATTGGAAGCAATTTAGGAACTGCTTAAGCAGTACACATCACTGGATGAAAAGGTAGCCGAACGAACGCGCGAACTGGAAATCAGTAAGAAGGCAGCCGAAGCAGCGAACGAAAGCAAGACTTTATTCATCGCAAACATCTCCCACGAACTCAAGACGCCACTGAACGGCATTATGGGCATGTGTGCAGTGTGTATGGAAGAGGACGATATTGTCAGGATCAAGCAGTCCCTCAAGACGCTGTATAAATCTGGTTCGTTTGCGTCTGATTGCTTGATGCAACTTTTCATGACGCATGACTGCTAATCAAAATCCAGGCGATCTTTTGCTCCATCTTCTCGATGATTTATTAAGCTTCTCAAAGAATCAAATAGGTCATCAAGTAAACCTGGAGGAACGCGAATTTCGGCTGGCGGACATTCGATCGCAGATTCTTTCCATCTTCGATAAGCAAGTAAAGGAGGGCCGCATCACGCTGACAGCCGACTTTGTCGGTAACGACTGCGATGGCTATCCTGTCGATCCGGAACAATCCAATCAAGAGAAGCGTCTGCCCGCTGTCGGCCCCCAAGGTCTGGGCCGTCTGAAAGACATGTGCCTCTGGGGCGATCAGCATCGAATATTGCAGGTCTTGATTAACTTGGTGAGCAACAGCTTAAAGTTCACACCTGCTGGTGGCAGGGTCATGGTACGTATTCGGTGCATAGCAGAAATAGAGTCAAGCGATGAGAGTAGGGCGTCGTCATCCATCTCAAGGAACTCGAGCCGCCCCGGCCGTGGTCGAGGTCGCCTCGGATCCGGCTCACAAAACTCGACGAGCTCTAGAGGCGCATCGTCGTCAATTGTGCAGGCACAGGTTCAGAAAGGCACTGCCTTGTCCATCAACCCAGCGGATCCTAGATCTGGAAGCCACCAGACAACCATGGACAGGCCTGCAACTCCGCCGCCAACCAATGCCAAAACATATCTCTTCGAATTTGAGGTGGAGGATACTGGCCCTGGTATAGCCGAGCACATGCAACAGCGAGTGTTTGAGCCCTTCGTGCAAGGAGACTTGGGTCTAAGCAAAAAGTATGGTGGCACCGGGCTAGGCCTGAGCATTTGCTCTCAGCTAGCCACGCTTATGGGCGGGAGTGTCTCTCTGAGGAGCACAGTGGGTGTCGGAACGACCTTTATAGTGCAGCTGCCGCTGAAATATACCAAAGAAAAGTAAGTTGACGTCTCCGGTTCGCCATCGAGAACGAATTGGACTAATTTCATTGTTGCAGACCTTCCAGTACGGCATCCAGTAGCATCGGTGGCTCGAGACCGCAAAGCGTTGCGTCTGGGGACCCTGAAACTCGACGCCAATCAATGGGAGAGGTACCGGCTGCCGAGAGCTCGAAAGCGACTGCTACGACCGCATTGGACAAACAGCCTAGGCTTGTGGGGCTAAGTCAGCCATTCTTCGCGGCCGTCAAGTCACAAACCCCTAAGAGCGATGATGAGAAGATGGCAATGATAAATCAGGCGATTGAAAAGAAAGGGGGGCAAGGGAAACTGCGCGTTTTGGTGGCCGACGACAACAACACCAATATCGAGGTTGTCAGCAGAATGTTGAAGCTCGAGGACGTGTACGACGTCACAATCGCCAAGGACGGGCAGGAGGCATACGAGCTGGTCAAGTCAAACTTTGAGCGGAACGAGAGGTTCGATGTCATCTTCATGGACATCCAGATGCCGAACCTAGATGGGCTTCAAAGCACGAGGCTGATCCGCAAGATGGGCTACAACGCGCCCATTGTTGCCCTGACGGCATTCTCCGACGCGAGCAATGTCAAAGATTGCATGGATTCGGGCATGAACGAGTTCCTCGCGAAACCGATCCGCAGGCCGGCTCTGAAGCAGGTGCTGCAGAAGTTTGCTACGATCCCAGAGGAGCCGGAGACGGCGAGCGTATTGACCAAGAAGACTACACCGGAAGCAACGACACCAGCGGACCCGCCATCGGAAAAGAGGGATCTTGGACTGCTCTCATCGACGGACCTTACTCCCAAGGCGGAGGAACAGCACTCTAACGGGGTGGCTCCACCGGGGAAGTAGTGAACTGTCCGCTTTGGAGAACTGAACTCGATTCCTGATATATCCATCGGGCCGCTGGCGCCAAAGATACCAGGAAGGAACCAGAGTAGGCGCTCATCGATCCAGGAAGGACTGTATCTTCGGGAGAGCGCCTCACGTCCGTCGACGAAGTTGTTCGGCAGCCGAAGCGGAAGACTGATCGACTGGGCTCGACGCACGCATGACTAATTACAATTTCTATCCAGTCGCCGGGAGACATCGAAGGCCGGAGTCTATTTGCTATTTATTTTGTAATGATGCAGACCTCCGCGCGGAGGTCGAGATATAATATGAGAGATGCATTGAGTTTGCAGGATCGGTGTTGAGGATACAAGGGACACCAAAAAACACGCAAGGGTTATGGCGTTTGGAGGTTGATTGTTATTGCCGAGATACGAGCGTTCATGCATGGCAATGGGGTCTTTTGTAACATGGGCGAGGTGGACTTTTGCCTGGCATACCAAAATCAGGGTGTGTGGGAGGCATTTTACTGAGCGTACTTCGGCATCGTTTGGTGCCTGTCCATTTTCTGTTTTGTTTTGGAGGGCGGGGGATGCTGAGCGAAGGGAAAACAGGACTGATGGGTGCGGATCGGCTTGGGCAAAACATTTGCGAGGCAAGGGCAGAAACGTATATGGATAGTATGTGAGACGGATGAATATGAGTACAACGCAGGGAACTGTTCGGCCGGCCAACATTTATACGGGCATTTGAGGTGGACGCTGTATCCCGTCAGCTGTGACGGCAGTGCGATTGACTATTGTTGAGATATTTGTCGGATAATAGGTGTGGAAATACCCAATGACCATTGACGCCTGCTTTGATCTTACTTGAATGCCGGCAACTTGGAGATGTGTACGATGATACCTTATCGTGGTGGTGTAGCTGGTCAGCTTACATTTGCCTCCCGCACCGTGCCTTGGTTTTGATGGCGGCATGGAGGAGCTGAAACTGTGCCTCATCACTACAGCCAGCGCGATGAAACATTCAGGAGCATAGTCACAAACGCGGAGAAAGACTCTGACGGAGTAAGGGAAAAGGGCGAAAAGGCTGGTTGAGTACTGGTGGTGGTCGCAGAGATAAAGTCGCCTCTTCCAAGAGTCTTGGGGTCGGGACGATGTCTCCTGAGCGTGCCAATCAGCAATCTCTAGCCGCCCAGGCGTTAAGCGCCCAGCTGTTCCCAGCAGAGAAGTTTGCAAGGTTCCGAGGTCGATCAGAAGCTCACCCCTGCACGCTCCAGAGCTGCGCGGCACGGCCATTGGACGGGGCCTCGTCTGCTCTGCGCGTGCTGGAGCTTGGAGCCCAGATTATATTTAGCAAGCCTGGCGAGGGTTCTCATGCAATGGGTAAGGAGACGGGGCACGATGTGGGAAGACAGGGAGAGCTTACATGGCTGAAATGGTGCAGCTGTTGGCTGCAGCCCGCCGCCCGCTGCAACATCAAACGGCGCCATCCACGAGGTGAATCCTCCCGCCTGTGTGGGGAGGCTGCGCGGCCATTCACAACACTGCATCTTTGGAGCTTCGTCTTCGTTGGTTTTCAACTTCGTCTCTGTCTGCTTGCCACCGGCTGTTCACTGTCCTCTCCCTCCTATCTCTGAATCTGAATTCCCGCGACCATACTTCACGACGGCATCGTCTTAGCCGCAGCCGGGACAGTGACACAGCAAGAAGTCTATAGAATACATCCCAGACTCGTCCAGCTTCTTGAACCAGGCCAGACCTGACCACGCCGAGCATCCACGGTGAGTGCGGGGCAGCCGGTGATCCCTCAGCTGCGGTGCAACCGGCGACGATTCTCTCTCTCATTTATCTGAGCTCCGCTAACACGCTCACAGCTGCATTTGGATCATCGATCTCACCGGCGACATGTCGCAGTATTATCCTCGTGAGTGTCCGGTCTTCTGCCACTGCGCTGAGCGCCAAGGCTGACCACGGTACAGCTCCGCCCTCTGCGGCGCAAAAGAATTACCCACCGCCGCCCATGTCTGCGCCAGCTCACCAGACATCCTTTGGGCATATCGGAGGAGGGCCTATGTCGCCCCCAGCGAACAAGACATCTTTCTACCCTCCTCCGCCCAATGGCTCTTCTCCAGCGCAGCAGCAGAGGAATTACCCCCCGCCACCGGCTGCCGCGGGAACGCCGCCTCCCAAGACCGGCAGCCCCATGTCTTATCCGCCACCTCCCCAGCAGTTCTCTCCACCACCGCAGCAGCAGCAGCAGCAGCAGCCGGCCCCTAACATGAGCCTACCCCTTCACATGCGCCACAGTTCTACGGGTTCCATCCACAGCCAAAACGGCCCCCAGTTCACTCACAACCAAGCCTCTCAGCCGCCACAATATGCTGGCCCCCCTGAGGGCGACTACCCGCCTGAGAAGCCGCCGCAGTCAGAACGAGACGACGAGGACGCCCCGGTGGACACGAGCAACCCGACGAACCTGGTGAGCGGGGCGCCGCCGGCCGGGCACTTTGTGGGGGCGTCGGCGATCGTGGACGACGTGGGCACCTTCAACGGCGGGTCGTACCGGATCAGCCACCGCGACAGCAACACGATCCTGACGATCCAGCTGGCGATGGGGTGCCCGCTGAGCGCCAAGCCGGGGACCATGATCGCCATGAGCCCGACCATCACGCTCAAGGGCGCGTACAAGTTCAGCATGAAGAAGCTCGTCGCCGGCGGCGAGATGGGCCACTCGACCTTCACGGGGCCCGGCGAGCTGCTCCTCGGCCCGCCCTTCCTCGGCGACGTCACCAGCCTGCGCCTGACGGGCAGCGAGAGCTGGAGCGTCGGCCACGACGGCTACCTGGCCAGCACGCAGGGCGTCATCAAGGAGTACAAGCGCCAGGGGCTGGGCAAGGCCATGTTCAGCGGCGAGGGGCTGTGGGTCTACAAGGTCAGCGGGACTGGTCTTTTGTGGCTGACGAGTTTCGGAGCGATTATTAGGAAGGATGTAAGTTTCTTCACCGGCAATCACCCATCCCACCGACCGCGCGTGACGCTGACAAAATTCTGGCAGCTCGTGGAGAACGAAAAGTACATTGTTGACAATGGCCACTTGGTCGCGTGGAACACAAAGTACGTGATGGAGCGCGTCGCGTCCGGTGGCATCATCTCGGGCTTTGCGTCCGGGGAAGGCCTGGTGTGCAAGTTCACTGGGCCGGGGACGGTGTTCATCCAGACGAGGAACGCGGTAAGTCTTTTCGTACCATTCCTTCTGAGTTCAGAAATTGCGGCGAAAACAGCTGACTGATATGACCTCTTTGTTGACAGAAATCATTCGCTGGATACATGACCGGCAATGGAGGGCCTGTGTCAAACTGAGGGAATGGTCAACGGTATCATTCGGATTTGCCTATATCAGGTGTCGGGTTTTCTTCTCTTGAGTACATGTTCATATTAATTCACTTCAAGCGGCGTATTCTGGTGGCGGTAATACGTCTGTCATCTCACCGACACGAGATGAGATCGTCTGGGTTCTGGCTCATTGCCCACCCTCCAAGGTAGCAATTGCTAGTCGACTCGGGGCATCTTTTATATGCACAATAGGAAGACTGGCCCACATGTTCATCGAAGCGATCAGTGATGCCGTGAGAAGGGCTCGATGACCGTCCCAGTGCCAGGACAGGAGGCAATCTTCCGGTTGTGATGTGATGCGGGCAAAGTGTTGATCGTGTGGCAAGTGCCAGACACTACCTCCTCGAAGGAGGCTTCCATGAATGCACGAGGGGAGCTACCTCTGGTCGGCTGCAGGGAATCTGGAGCCCACACGTGCTGGCTGATTCTCGTTCTCGCTTGCCCTTGAGTGAGATAACCTGTCGAGAGTATAACGTGGTGAGCTCACTGTGATTCCCGCTAGATCACCCCGTCGCCTGGGCGACGATTCTCACAACATGCTTTATGTTCTCTTATTTTTGCTTGTAACGAGGGACCCGAGGCCGAGGTTGTGCTTTTTGAGAGTTGATCCGCAGCTGCTGGTGACGGTGACTGCGTGCTGACATAGAGTATGACTGCCAAACATGGGACGAAAGAAGGAATGCCCCTTGCAAACCTTAGTGATCAATGGAACACTTTCAAGGACAATAGGGCAATAGGACGGCTCGAGACTCAAGATGCAGCTGAGGTCCAGCGTCGCTTCCCTTCCACCCAGCAAGCTACCTGTCCCAAGTCACGGCTTCCTCGCTGGCTGGGGCAACGAGCTTCGGACCGACTCGTCGACACGGCTCCTTTGCATTCCCATCCCAACTCGTGACACCTCACCACACTCCAGGACTCGACCTTCGGTTTTGGTTATTGCCCGCGCGCAGGTTTAGGGTATCTTCTTCTCTTCAGGGTACACCGAAGTCGTTTTCAGCGTTTTTGAGCGAAAGTTTCCAATTTCTTAAGGCTGGTGCCTCAATCTCACACTCGCCTCACTTTCTCACTTCCTCACCTCCTCTCTACAACTTGTCTTGACTCCTTTCTACCAACAAAACATTGTCGCCTGTTCTCATGCCCACAGGCTCGCTGTCTTGAGATCCCCTACAGAGTATCTGTTCTCTCTGGCCAGGACGTTGACAGGTTTGAAGTCGTCAGTAAGTAGTTCACCCACACAGGCTCGATTGCTGTGGATGCACTTACAAGATTTTTTTTCCAATTACTACACTGGAGAATGCGTCGCGCAATCTCATCCTGGCAAGGGCCAAGGAGAAGTTCCTCATCAAGTCACGATCTACCTCCCCGACACCATCCATTCAGTATGCATGACACTGTCACTGACATACTTGTGCACAGCGACACTCACGGGCAGTGATTTGCGACTGGGAGACCACCCTTCCAGAAAGTCTTCGTGTGGATTGTCAGAAGATCTACACCCTGACTGCAGACGTCCTTTGCTCTCAGCCACTTGTACTCCCCTCGAGCTTCAGCATAGGCATTACTTTTTGCTGTTGACGGCGAAAAGTTCGTGCTTGACACCTGAGAGCAGCCGAAATTCAACTACCTTGTCTGCTGTAGGAAATCCCAGTACCTTGTCATTAGGTGAGTACGTATCATGGACATCATACCCATTTTTCTTTCCCAACAGTCATTTACTCATCGGTCTCCATTGTTCATCCCTGTTGATTGAGACTTGACACTGATGTGTTATGATTATGTGCAGCGACAGAGCAAATTCGCTCAAAGCCCTTTCAATTGGCTGCCACTTTACACCCTCTGTGACATACCCACGAAGTCGACTTTATTCGCGCAGCTGGCCAGTCCGGACTCATACCCTAAGCGGAGAACAAGATGTCTACCTTGCAACAAGCTCACGGCAATACGGCCAGATCGCGGCCGTTGAAGCCCAAGCTCACCATAGACACTCGAGCTCCTCCTAAGCCGGGCATCGACCAGAATTCCACCCAGAGCGCACCAGTTGGCACCCGCCAAGAAAGAGGTATTCCGCCCATGCACCAGGCTGTTGATAGACATTGTGCGAAAGTTGCCGAGATGATGAATTCGCCAACTTGGCGCAGTCGACGTCCCGGGCTTAGTTCTGTTGACGACGATTCTCCTTACAAGCCATTGAATTCCCACGATGCCTACGATCCGAGTCCGAGTCCGAGTCCTCTGACATACATTTTGGAAAACGACAGAAATTCCCACTCATTGGAGGAGCACAAGATTGGCAATGGAAGCTCCGCTGACCTCGTGACACGACGGAATCAAGGTCGTCGTCATGCTGATAGTGGCATTTATCTGAGTCAGGACGGGGAGGCTATGAGCATCGTCGGGATCCATCCCTTCTCAGAGATACCAGAGAGCCCGAGCAATACCTTCATCATTTCGGCCGCAGTGTCTTGTGGATCTGCTCTCCCCGAGAACATCGTATTTGGCAACCTCCAGCCCGTCCTGACTCACAGGACGAGGTCGTCAATCCGACTCAACACGGCAGAAGATGAGCTTTCCTTCGAGCTGGACCCAGAGGATCAATTTCTGGGAAATCACGAATCGAGTTTTCAGAGCCCACCTCAAATACACAGTCAGTCACCTACTCATCCTCAAAGCGGGGAGTCACTCAATGAGGAAGATCTGTTCCAAGGCGAGGAAGTGAATCATGACAAGCAACGTGATATTCACCGGCTCATGGCGCAAGATGAGGCCATCAAGATCATCAACTCCCAGCATGCATCGCCGCGCCTCCGTGGTCGGTCTGATCCGGAGGATAAACAACGCTTTCGGGATTTGCTGGGCAGACTTCAATGCGAGATTGAGGCGTTGGACGATGGTCGAACGAACCAGCCCACCCTGAACGATCCGGCAATCGTCTCTTTTGCACCCAAGACGAGCGACCAGCATTATTCTAGCAAGAATCTTGTAGCTCAGTCTGATGCTGCAGAGAGGAAATCTCTGCAGACGAAAAAACATCACGCTCCTTCTGATTCTGGTTATGCGTCTCCCACGGTACATTCGAGACCAAGCACTCGCGCCCAGTCGAGGAGCAGACATGGCACATCGGATGATGTTGGACCTGAACCCATTACTATTCAACATGAAAAGTTCGACTCCAAAGATTCTAGCCTGGATAGGTCCTCGAAATCCTCAGCGCTTAATCCTGCAGCAAAAGAATTCTCATCGACAAATTCCCACAGTGTTCCCTCGAGGAAGCGAGACGGGATCGCGCCTCCTCCTGTTCCCGATCATGCCTTCTTTACACCCCCACAGGCCCAAGCACATTTTGGCGCAAACATTCAAGCTCCAGGCGTTGGATTTACTACCCTACCCAGTCTCAGTAGCCCTCTCGCAAACTTGGGTTTTACACAGCCAGGGCTGCTACAGCTGTCTCCGGCCATGCTTCCTCAAGCCAATCCTTTTTCTCACGCTGCCCTGCCGCCTCCACCTGGTTTCGGCCTATCTGCAAACATCCCTCCGGCAATTCCACGTCCTGGAATCATGCCTGGTCTGCCAGTTCTTTCACCCCCCTCCGTGACGGGTCTACCAGGGCTGGCGAATTCACCAGGACTTGTGCCGGCATCTGGACCAATTTGCTCAGAGTTCGCGGGCGCCTTTCATCAGCAGCTGCCTTCTTTTCCCTCATGCAACAACCCAGCACACCAGAGCGTTCCAGCATTCAGCGCCACTCAAGGCTTTCAAGCGCCCACGACGCCGCAGCTCGCGCCTCCTGCGCCCCCGCCTTCCGTCTTCAGTCCTGGCCATGGCGTTTCCGTGACGCCTCCGATGGCACCAGTAGCTCCCGTTGTCAACCCCCTTTTTAGGAAGAATGTGCCGAAGCCGAAGGTACCTAACACTACTGGTCAGCAGTACTGGGAGTACTGGCACGAGCTACGACGAACATTTGAGCCCGGATACGCTCAAAAGTCAAAGCAAAACCAGCAGAAGCGGTACATGAAGCAGCAGGTTCACAAGAGCGGTGGCTCGGCGGACCAGTCTTAGGAGAAGGGCGGGTGTTCGAGCATGCCGGATGGGAAGAAGGAACAAGCGAACGGCGCACAAAAATCACACAGCGCTTCTACAGAACCAACGGATGGCAAAACCGCGGTGGTGGGCTAAAAAGAGGTCGACAGCAACGTCCCACGCACCGGTTCTTATGGGAGTGATTGAGCAATTATGGCTGCATCATTTCGACTCTCGCAGGCTACTCAGCCTTTGAGCTCGGAACCAGGTGTACTTATCACATATCGACAGATGACAGATGGGACTGAGGTCAGTCGTCTATCACATTGATGATTCTGTGGTGTTTCTCGTATTTTTATTTTGTTTCTAAGCAATGGATGGCAATGAATTGTGCCTTTACGATGATGGCTACGCTGGAAACCAGGCTATCTCCTTGGAAGAAGGAGAGGAAGACGGTAAAGAAATCGAAAACTACAAAAACAATGAGATAGGATGAGATGTCGGCATCGTTAAAGTCTCAATAACAGCAATGTCATTCTGTTTCAGTTCAATTTCAAAATCTGTGACCTACATGTTCCTCTACTGAGTTGAGTGATACTCCTGGCCTAGAGGGACGTAGATAGGTGCTCATTGTGAGAGTCGCCCATGTCTTCCTCAAGACATGAGCATGCCGTGTCCTGCTGAGACAACGTTACCACGAATTCCTTCTAAGTCAGGCCGTATACGCGGAATTACGTGGCAGGCACACCACATCACACCACACTACAAACCGCCAAGCCCAGGCACAAACTTGCCCTTGCATGTGAAATGTGATGCGGGAGCACGTTGTTCTTGTCGTTCATGGCCCCCCACCCGCCCCTCCGGCCTATGCAGCTAAATCGAAGGGTGAGCCGGAAGCTCACCTTGAAGGATGGACAAGTTCACCTTCCCTTATGACACCCTGATTGGGCAGTTTCCGGTCCGTCCTAATGCGGTGGAACGCGTGGAAGGTGGGAGCCTCCTAGATACTGAGGATTGTATCTGGTACATGTCTACGTACTGTGGTCAGAAGTCCCTTTGACTTTGACTCTTAGGCAACACTTCACACCACTTCAGTCATCGATATTATGTGTATTCCTTCTATGTAACTATGTGCGTATAGGGGTGAGAGTGGTCCTAGGTATTTTGGCCCCCGGGGGAGGGCGGAGGCGCCAGTGCTCAAGCTGCCATAGCAAGGACCCGGGGTGAAGACGGATGGATTCTCTTATTCAGCATAATAATCGTCACAATTTTCGATCGCGATTTGATACTTGAATCCTGCTTCCCATGTGGTCTTTTGCCCAGACGGACATCCGGCCCTGCCGGTGAGCGAGTGAGTTAATGAGATGTGTATGACAAGCGCGCTCGGGCGCGGGCGCGCGTCCTGTGTGAGTGGTCGGGGAGTGAGGAATGCGGGACCGCATCTCTGGCCTAGAAGGACAATATCGTGTGCCTGTTTGTGTTGATATGGAGCCGGTGTTTGATGAGGTGGTGGTGAAGGTGTTTAGGCAGGGGCACTTGGTTCTGTGTGGCGCATCTGCAGGCACCAAGTGCTGACCTCCCTCTCGCCGCAAGGTAATGGTGTGAGGCTTGTCCGTCTGACTCATATGGGCTTCGGGCCCCTTACTTGGCCTGGAAGCCGTCAAGGTTAAGTCCTTCGTGGGCGGGAGGAGCGGGTTGGCGGGCTGGCCTTCGCCATCAGGTCGGTTGTGGCGTAGTCTAGGCGGCAGTGATTAGTCGAGAGTTCGGACCAGGATATGTCAGGTCGGTGGGGGGCTCGGTGAGATAATTGTCAGCGGCAGGGTTCGTCGTGAGGGCATCATGGACTTGGGTTCGGGGCGGGCGGGTGGTGGTGGTGGTGGTGGGTTGGCGGGAGGATGTTTCCGTTGCGTTGGTGCTCACTTTGGCCGAACTCTTTCCAAGGCTTTCACGTCTGATAAACTTTACCTGCGACTGGGCTGACATCACTCTCTTTTCCTCCTCCTCCTGAGGGAAGGATCACGGCTGCATGGAGATTGCAGGAGCAGGAAGGGGCCGGGCATCGGGCATACGGTGCCTCCGTTTCTGAGGCCAAACGGTGGTTTGACGACATGTATTCCTTCATCCGTAGTCTTGCATCTGAAATGTCGAACTGCTGTGATGCTTGACTCTGGGAATCACCATTTTCCGAAACGTGCAGCATTTGCTGACCTCCAGCATAAGGGGCAACTGCACCTGCTGTCGTGTTCTTGCGTCGACTCCTATCAACGTGCCACGATGCATTACTGGGTTTAGCATTATCGCCATTGTTCACATTCAACCAAGGCAGCTGCTACGAACTGCTGACATCATAGGTTGCGGTTTCTCTGTACAAGAAGCAGATATCATACGTTGGTTGGCATGCCAATGAGTAAATTGCGGCGTAGGACCTCACCTTAGGGGCCTTGACCACGATGCTGGAACCAACTCCTCACTTTGAGCAACACAAAATGAGCACGTCTGCTTTGAGCATCTGCCAAGCTTTTGAGGGGTTTTCATTTTTGTGTCCCTCTTCTCGAAGGCAAGAACCCTCTCATCAATGTCAAGGCAAGCTTCAAGCTCTCTCAGTACTTGGAGACAACCAGCATGACCTTGTCCGACTGAGGCCCAGTCTCCTTTTACTTTGCATGTCAGTCCTTCTCATATGGAATCTTCGCGAAAACGGTGCCTCCGCCATAGGTCAGCATCTACTTATCCGTACCTGGTGTGAAGGAGCAGAGCTTGGTCCAGTTGTCGCAGTCGTCTGCGTTCCCAACGGCAGGTGTATCTTCATTCAGTCGAACCGTGCTCATACTTCTCAGACCGCGCGACAGAAGACTGACTCCCGACTTCCGTGGCGATGCATCCAATGTCCCCGGGCTTACATCTTGCAAGATTCCGACCTTTAGTGCGACGGCCAGCCATCACTTTCGCTCCTTCGACTTTCGGCTTCGTTGTGTCTTCTTCGAGGTCCTCTAGCTCGATGACACCGCTTGCGCACCGGTTGAGATCTTTATGGTCGGTCAAGTCGCAATGGTCCCCGTACCTGCTCTGTTGCCGTCGAGTTGGCTTGTTCCTCCTCGGACTTGAGTCTCGGTAGTACCACGTATGTCTTCGGCCGTTTTCTTCCAGTCCAGACCAGTACCCTGCCACTGGAGGCTTCTCCTACAGTTCTCTGCCATTGTCCGTCCCTTCTTTCAACTGCTTTGAGGGATCTTCTCTATGGCCATGTGTGTCGATAGCCATTGATACCATGGTCGAGATATTCTTCAGTGCTTCGGGATGGTCTCTGAACTGATCCGGATTCGGAGACCAATGTCTGTGGCTAGCTTTATCCCATCAAGGCATCGTCGTTCCATCTTCCCTTGCCAATCCTTCCCTAGGTGCCATAGATGTCGTCCATAACGGGCCTCACTATACCAACGAGGTGGGGTCCGAGATCAAGCACGTCGCCAAACATTTAAGGGGTACTTCGCCATGAGCAGCAGTGTTTGTCGTCGAGCCGGCTAGGTCTCAAGTCGTGGGATGGCAAGCGGAGCAGTGTGGTCAGGCAAGATCTTATATCAGAAAGAGCTGACGGACCTCCTTACAGACAACCCCGAAACTGTGGAGCCTCACCTAAAGAAGCAAGAAGTCATGCGCGAACCACTCTTCCTAGAAGAACGCCGGCGGTGAGATCTTCAGAGCCAATTCTGAGTCAGGCAGCTCTTTCTCAGACCAGAAGACCGCTTCAAACGACGGACACTCGAACGGACAAGGATGAAACCCCACCGAAGGACCATGCGCCCTTGCCCAACAGAAGCAAAATAAGTCAAAATAATCATTGTTTCTGTGATATCCGTCCAGGAAAGCGCTGATACAACCGATTTGTCTCGCCTGGGCGATTCCACATGATGCTTGACTATTGTCGGACAAGGAGGAGTACCGTCGGTGCCGAAGATAGTCTCGGTGGACTCGATCTCGGTCATGCAGCTGTTTCGTCTCGCCTACTTAGGGTTGGGCTCCGGCGGATCTGCCAAAAGAGGAAGGGCTCACAGAGCCGTTTCTGTCCTCAAGGTTGCTCAGAGCCTATCCTTTGACGAATTGATTCAATGACAGCAAGTGGTGGATGCTCATCTGGTCTCCTACTGGACCCAGCGTCTATCCGGCCACCTTCCTGCCCCGGAGTCCAAGATCTTGCCGTAAATCTGAGCAATGATATTGGCCGGTCTCTGTCTGCTTGCAGCATCTGACACCTTGGCCTAAATCTGTCAGCAATATCAGATGACTCTCGAAGCCTTGCTTCGTGAGTTGCTACATGCTGTTTGCGTCCGGCGAAACTAGGACAACCGTGGGGATGTTTTCATCTCCAGAGTGCTTCGATGAAGCGCCGAACGTGATGCCCGAAGCCACACAGCTTCGACGGAGATAAATCACGAAGAAAGCAATTTATCTCGGGACCGAACGAGACACCGTAGTCATGTCCACTTGGACCGGATAAAGGTATGGCGCAGTAGAGAGGGATATAGAACGCGAGGGAAAGAAAAAGAAGAAACAAATCCGCAGATCACAGCCGTTGGCCAAGGGCATTGTATCGTCTGCCTCGTCGTCAACTACAGTCAAGGAATACCATGGCTGCTGACGAGACTGTATATGCATTCCTCGGTCATCCCATCAGTACCGAAAAAGTCATTGCGTTGAGTAACACGGAACTCAGGCCATGAGAAGCTTGTTCATACAGTGAAAGAACAAGACATCGTCTGCGGACACTGGAAGAGCCATTCGGACATGGTCTAGACCATGATCCTTGCCGACGCATTCCAGGAGATAAACAAATGGCTTGTTATGCATGATTGACAACGAGCTTGTTAGATGCCAGGGAAGCAATGCGGTGCTTTCGATGCCACCTGGGACTAACGTCATAGTAATGCAAGCATTCCGTTGCTGGACGAGTTCATGTACCTCGAGGCTCAAAAGCATCGTGCAACACAGGCTCTGATATGTGGAATCGTCGATCCACACCCTGTTGAGCGGCTCTGGCGGAC